AGATTGAAATGGGATCAGATCAAATTCTCTTTTCTTAGGCATCAGCTAAAAAAGCTAAATTACAGTTGGGTGTTTGTAGCAGGGGGTTCAAGTAGAAATTGGGGGAAGGTATTCGGTTTTTAATTTTGATATGTCTGTTTGGGAGCTTATACCACGTTTTTCAACAATTTCCCACTTTAAAGGACAGGAAAGTATGCCATCAAGTTTTAGCAATAATGCACAAAGAATCTAAAGGATGCAAAAAGAGAATCCAAGGAGTAAGCATGAAGACTGGCTACTCCTGCTCTACTTCATAACCTTCAGGTGTAATGGAGGTAGCTGGGGTTTCTAGGAATTGCTCTGAATGCTGCTGAAGAGTATCAGATTGCAAAGACTGAATTGGCTTAATTCTTTAAGTATTATTCAGGTTATCAGTATCTACCAGAAATTGATTAAATGCATTCACCATGTTCTCATTTATTTTTAAGTGCAAACTTGGTTTGTCACTCAACAGCAAGATTCATTTACTACTTCTGAAATTTCGTGTTTTAAATTCAGAATACTGTTATTTTATATATATATATTTACACACATACAAAACATAGAATTGTTTGGACACTCAGAACAAATTACATTGTACTTTGAATTCTGCCTTTAATGTTTTATCAGATGTGAAAGTAGACTGTTCCTCCATTTGATTTCTTTTTTGTGGGTGGCTGTGGGGTGTGTAGGAATATGTTTAGAATAATTTGATGCAATATGTAATAATACAGTTGGATATATGTATGAGAATAGAGAAAGGTTCAACAAAATGAATCTACATATATTACATTCCTTCATAACCATATGTTTTAAAAATGATATTCATGATGTCATTTGTGAAAATGCATACTGTTTTACTGATACTGCAGTCCTGTACCAGTTTATTTGGAAGTAAATGTATATAGTTAATGGACATTTTCCCTGTTAAAAATATATAGAATTGTGATCTTAACTTTATGAAACATCTATAAAATCTGATTCAAATCAGGCACATTTCACATATGGAGTATTATATGTTTCTTTGAAAAATGAATAAATTTTAGAAGAACTCTTATTGTATGGGTAAGCACATTAGATCAACAGGTCAGTATATTCAAACTTTTATCATGCAAGAATGCCCGGCCAGCTATTTCTAAGAATCTCAAAGGTAGGACATTGAGGATATTTAAACATAATTGCTGCATGCGTGAATAAGACCTGTACCTTGGGAATTCTTCTGAGAAAATAACTATTGGAAGTAAAATGAAAGACATCATTAATAGGATTAATCAAACTGAATAATTGAAGAGGGAAATATTTATTTACTACATTTCTAGGACACCCAGACAACTCTGGACAGCTATACAAAACACAATAAAATATAAAACAATATAAAATCAAGCATAAAAAAATAACAAGTATATATAGAGAAACCGCCAAGAGGCACAACATATAACCACTACATTCATTACTAAAAGAGGACTTGTCCAACCTGCATAATCCCAGGCCTAAAAACATAACAAAGTTTTTAGAGATACTTTGAAGGCTGGTAAGGGAGGTGAGCAACACCCTTGGCAACAAGTGAAATTCACATAGTAGTAGCTAAGAAAAATCCTTAGGACCAAGAGGACCAAATACCCAGACTTGCTAGGGTTGAGCATAACTCTGTTCATCCTCATCCATGCCTCAACAGCTTCCCATTCACTTGGAGAAGTTTGGACAGTATTGCTTTGTTTGCTAGTGGTTGAGCTGTATAACTGGGTACCATCTATATACTGATGATACCTGACCCCCAACTAATGACCACAGGTAGAAGTTAAACAGGAGGAGCAAGAGTGTTGACCCCTGAGTCACCCCACAAAATTAGGGCTTTGGAAGTCAACCTCCCTCCTCCTATCAACACCAACTATAACCATTCACAAAGAAAGGAGGAGTATCACTATAACAGGTATCCTCCATTCCATACCCTGCAGCTGGTTCAGAAGGATAATCTGACTGGTATTAGCAAAAGCCCCAGTCAAACTATCCTTCTGAACCAGCTGCAGGATATAGAATGGGGGACAGAGTGTTATAGTGGTACTCCTCCTTCATCTGTGAATGGTTACAGTTGGTCAGGTTGCTTGTAGCATCACCATCCCAGCCTTCCCATAACTCATCAAGTTCTGTCTCAGTTTCTATATCCCAACTTGAAACCTAACTGAAAAGAGTACAGATAATAAAAGGAAGTTGGAAAATGGGTGGAAATTTTCCAGGGAGGTTGGATTTAGCAATGTCTTCTTAACAAGGGGAAGTACTACCACTCCTTGGCAGGTGGGACCACCCCATCTTGTGGATGTAGATATCACCGAATTGACTCAACCACCTGAAACAGCCTTCAGAAAACATGGGAGGCAAAGTAAGGCAATAAATAGGTAGTTGGGTTCACAAGCCTCAAGAGTTCATCCATTTCTTCAGAAATCACAGGATCAAACTTGTTCCACTTAACTGGGCCAGTTCATAGTTCTATCATCTCATTTCTATTTGCCTGGTTAGAGTTCAATTTTGAGCAAATCTGAGTGATTTTACCCACTGGATATCTAGAGTATTCTTCACAGGGGCCCAAAAGATGTTCTTGTGGTTCATCCCTGCCTATCAAAAAGTGGGATAACCAAAGAAGGTAGTGATCTGTTAACAGCAGATATGACAAGGGAAGAGAAATAACTATATTTCACCAATCTTATTAATATGATATTAATATTAATATTACATATGCTTGGTTATATTTGCTCTCTATTTTCCTCTAATAGCATTCTGTCTCTTCTGAAAACACTTCTCTGGTGTTTCAGCTCCTGGAGTTCCTCAAAGAACCAAAGAACCCCATAGGAACAATCTAATCTAAGGCTTCAGTCATCCACCTGTTCCAGTTAATCACCATGATTAACCCATCATGGTTAATCAGACAATCCATCAGATCCTTGGGCAAAACCTCAAATACTATTTGAAACCCTAATGAGTCCATTAGGTGCTTTGGGTGGACTGACTGAAAATGTCCTACCTCCATATGGAGAAGGGGAGCACTAAAAAGCAATCAGAGGGTTATATGACTATGTTACAGGAGTGAAAGTGATGTCTTTAGATCAATTTCCAACTGTCCTGAAATAAAAATTAGAACACGTGTGATGTCTGTCAAGGATTAGTCACTCAATAATTTAGGACAGGTCCATGGCTGTATTTGATGGAGCAATCATGGCTCTTGAGGATTTAACTGCCAAGCTAGCCATGAAATCCAGTAGCTCAGGCAGGGATGTCACAGTGCAACAGAGAGGCCAATGGAGCAGTAATAAACCTAGCTGCTTCCTGGAATGCAGCAAACCCAAATCCTTTGTGTATGTTGTGCCATTATCAATAATAATAACAACAACTACTGTAAATTACCCATACCTAGCATCAGCTAATAATAGTATTTTAACTACATTGTGCATTTGAATGCTTACTTTATACAAAGTGTAAGTTAAACATTGGAAATTTCAAATTAACATGGAATTAATTTGAAGCCCAATTCAAACTACAAAAATATTCTTTATTTTAAAAAAAGAAAAGCCTACTTCTTTGATTAGTATTCTTAAGGAATGACAAATATGTAACATATTGGTTTTAGTGTACAGGTTACAAAACTACATCAATTAGTAGTTTAGTGCTCTCATACTGACCGTGAATTGTTGTGTAGCTTATTTACATACAGGTTTATAATAGCATGCTCATCAACCACCGGACTGTCTATATTTATACTCTCAAGTAACCTGAATGAGTTAAACAATGAAACCTCATTAACAGGATGTATATGCAGAAATACACATATATGACGGGGATTTAATGCATCCAACTGAGTTCCACTGCAGAAAGACTACTGCCTTTAAATAATAATGTATAAACATGTAATTCAAGTTAAGAAGACCTAGGAATAAAAATAATTAGAAGATACTACTAGTTATATCACTGAGTGAGAGGAAATATTCTTAAGTGTAAAAAAATCCCAACAATTGATTTATCATGTCATAGGGTATCAGTTGACACTCATACAACTTACAAAAGGGTTTTGCCATTGTAAGAGATTTGTGAAGCCCCAATAATTAAGGAAGGGTGGCTTACATATTCTTCATAGACACTCCAATAAGCAAATTAAACACACAAAACGTTGACTATGATTATTTCTTTATATGCCTTTATACAGCATTTTTACTGTGTTTATGATGGAGTCACAAAGGAGTGTTGTACAACCAATGTGATTCTGGGCAAAGTAACAAACACGGCTTACGATATTAAACTACATGGCACACACATATAGTTTTCCGCAGAACATGCATGGAGTGACTAGATGCCATCTAGACTGATTGTGAGATTGGGATTTTTTTATGGGATCTGGCTGTCACTTAACTTGAACTAGTTATTCTAACTTTGATGTCTTATATATGTTAATCCTGATTGTAGATATTTATTAACACAAAACCTGTTTAGATTTGGCCAGTGTCATTCCAAGGCAATCTGAGTGCTTCCTTGTCCTCAGTGATGAATGAAAACCCCGAACTATTTTATTTTATTTGTTTATATTTTAAAGCAAATACAGAGAACCCTTTGGTGTCCTGTAGCTTCATTTAACTTTTGGGGAGGTAATAAGAGATGCAGCATGCAAACCAATATTTAAAAGTGATGAATGCATCATTACACATTGTCAAACTGGAATTTTCAGTTGAATTTTTTCAGAGGGGAAGAAATAGAGGATTTTTCTCTACAAAATCTACATCGCTTTCAGGGTTTACACCACAGTAGTTTCCTTTTTAAAAAAGAAGTTCAGTATTTGAATTAGCCTTGGAAGTGCAAATCACCAAAACCTATTTTAAACAAAAAAAAGTAAAAGGATACTTTGCTTACTTTGTACTATCTTTTCATAGTAATATTTAAAATTAAAATAAACAATCCTGCATTTAATTATATGCAATGTGTTTTTTAAAAAACCCACTCACCTTCTGTTTGTGAAAGGGCTTCCTGAGGGAACAGAGTGGGAGAATAGTGTGTCATTCATGCTGGTTACTGGTCTAGGAGGCCTTGAAAAAAAAAA